TGTGGACTTATTTTCATCATTGCGTGTTATAATAAAATTCTATAAATTTCAGAGACGTTTTCTCTGTGTTTTTTTTTTTGCATTAATCTTGTGTTCTTCCCTGTGAATTTGCTGGTAGAACTAGCCTGCAGAATAATCACTATTCTGCATGGCGTCAGTTTGCATTTGGTTGGTATAGTTGGAGCGTTGGGGGATTCATGAAGTAAGAAGTCCTATTGCATTATCCTCAGAGTAAATACCTCAAGGCATAGTATGTTTGGTAGTTGAACAAGAAAATACTGTATGATATTAAGAAAGAAAAATAAATAAAATCTTATTCATTTTACTGGCTTGTCCAATATTGGGTGTCAAACATGTCCTAAAAGAATTAGACACAGTCCTTAATCAATAAATATTGTGCGTGAATTCTCCATTGTGTTTTGCTTCATGTCTATAATAAAGTTATTATTTATGTATTATATGCTTGTCTTGCACGTTCCAGTAAACATGCAGTGTGGTGGATGTAGGCGCATGTTAGTTCTTATTATCAGATGTAGGTGCAGGTTAACATGTGGTGTGGTGGATGAGAATCGTAATCTGGTAGTGTAGATGTTCGGCTACCGAAAAAGTCTCGATAGATAGGTCTTTTTTGCTTAGCCCAAGGCTGGCCTCGCGCTTAGCGTCTTTAAAATTGGCATTTTAGCTACTGGATTAGTCTAAAATGCGCTGTTGGATAAGTCTAAAATGCGCTAGAGGTGTCACGTTACGACGGGGAAAGCTGTTGACCAGGCTGCGCAGGTGCTTTGCTGCACAGTTGTGGTCCTCGGAATTCGCCGTTTGACTTTGTGAGAGCTGAATGCTATATTGCGCTGTACACATCCGGCGCATAATACGAGTAGGAGGAATCAAAACCCTTAACTTTTTTGGGGATAAAAAAAATTAGGGCTGTTTGATTTGATTAGTTGTCAACTGCTCTCCCTGTCTCTTAATGCATGTGAGGGGAGTTGTACTAGTGAGTTGCAGATTTACTTGGATGAGGTGAGTGAACTGTCTCCTACACTAGATCACGTCTGAATGTGAATTTACACAAACATCAAAAGATTCTAATCCTTCAACCTTTTGGACAGTCAATTTTTTATTTTTATTTTATTTTTGACAAAAGACACACAGGGCCCCTGCTTATTCTCTTTATTACTCGTTAAGCTTGTGAAGATCTGTGCTTCATGTGAGCAAAAGTATGGCATACTTTTGTGTTGCCTAGTAAATTTTCTCCCTCAATCAGTGTGAGGAGAGGTCACCGTCATCTTATTGCAAATTAATACCAAAAAAAGGAAAGCAGTGTTGATCAACCTGGCATATGTTAATAGTCACGTAACATGAAATGGACTCATTGCCAGCAGCCCGACACCACTACAAAGATTCACCGTTTATTAGGGGTGGACGTTGACATTTTGAATTAGGAAGCACAATCAAACTTGCAAAAAAGTTGTGAGGAATTTTACATTCGAAAATTTACATAAAAAAAAAAAATCATACCCCATGTAATTTTACGTCCAAAAATTTACATGGAGTATGACTTTCTCGAATGTAAAATTTTGAAAATTTTGATGTCATGTCCCATGAAAAATTTCTTAATAAAATGATATAAATTATATTGAGAAATTTATATCGCAAAACTAATAATAATTGATTTTTTTAAAGAAATGAGACGTTTTTTTTTTTTTTAAATATCGAGATTCACTTGAGCCCAACTTACCATAAAATATAAAAAGTCTGTTAAA